TAGTTCTAATACTTCAGCTCCAGAATAATTTTAAATTCAATTTTTACATGTATATAGAAATCTAGATAAATTATTATTATTATATTGTCCGAGTCAAAATTTCAATACTCTAATCTTAAAATGCAATTTCTAGAAATAATTTCTATTACCCCTGATGATGTTTTTCCCAGCAGATATTCTATATTATCTGTTTGAGTCAAAAACGTCCAAAATCTTAATATACTTAGCCTCGAGCTTTACTTTAATATTTTCGGCCTGGGTTCTGCTGATCTTAGGCATCTTCCTAATGTCTGTTTTTCTAAAATAAAAGGAAAAGAAATAAAAATATATACAACTATGTTTAGCAAAGGATCTCCGCCTAGTAAGGTGAATCCATTGTTAGAGGTAGATTTACTATCATTATGAAAATATAAAATTCGAAGACACAGCAAGATCAAGGATAAGGACAGTTTATTATTTATTGTTAAAGGTTTTTTTATTATTATTATGAGGTTAATGACATATGAAGTTAAGAAAGTTACAACGTTATTTATACATGTTAAAGGTTCAATCATCTAGTTCTCTAATTTCCAAGAACTCTCAATTTGTTCTAATTAAATGTATTCCTTAAAAATAAACAAGATCTTTCTTTTAAGAACAATTCCAGGTTCTTTTTAAAGTGAACGAATTATTTTAAAGAAATACAATTTAGAATGTTAGAATAATCTTGATAATTTCCTTGAGTTAATTAATTATTATTGATCAACACTATCAAATTGGACTGGTTCGAATTCTTTGCATGTTTTCCGATTTCTTTTCGTGAAACTTTTATAAATCATTTCCCGATTTAATTATTGATTTCCCGTGATCCATAAATATATATTAGTATTAGTATATATAATATCAATAAACTTGATAAGTCGGTCATTTATTTATTTATATCATCAAATGCTTTAAACAATTGATTGGTGCGTCCGACTTATCGAGTTTATAACTTGGGTTTGAAACATTTTGACAATATGATATCCACTTTCTTTTGTTGATCATTTAATGCATTGCTAAAAATGGACAATGAGAAGATACAATGGATGCATGTGTATTAACTTCTTTTGATGCTTGGTTCTACACAAGACATTTTTTTTACATCAGTGTTTAATTTTCGTTAAATATTTTTCGATTTTTTTTTATTTAGGTGTTCATAAATAAAGTTGTGAATCATAGTTCCTTATTTTTCCCTCATTTTGATTGACACAAAGATTAAACCTACTATTTGAGTCACGAGGACAATTAATCCTTTGGGACACAGTTCACTCACTCACTGTCCATATAATAATAATTAAAAATTTACACGCCCTTAACAGTTAATTTTACCATCAAAGAAGGAATACTGGTACTAATCTCTCTCTAAATTCCTTCTAATACGGTCAGAACTCTTTAAAACCGAAGTAATCATGTATATTCGTTTTATCAAACATCGTCTTAACAAGTTAGTTCTGACTGTATCCATATAGAGATATATTAAAAAAAAAAAAAGCAGATCTTTCTAGAAAGTACCATTTCATTAATATATATATATACATATGATATTTATTGAAATGTTATTTTTTTTTTTCTCATGAAATTTGTTGTTATCAAAATTTTCCTTCTTTCCTTTAATTTTGAAATGTTCTCGGGATTATTTTATATTATTTTGTTGTCATTTTCTTGTATTTTCATTTTATTAACATTTTTATGTACTTATTTATTTAGTTGGATGGGCTTTTCTTGGAAATTAGCTAAGTTTTTACATTGTATTATTTGTTATATTGTTATATTATTATTCGTTCACATTTTTCATCGTTTCTTTTTAAAAATTTTTTTTTTGTATTTCTTTCGATCCTCTTGGCCTAGAGTTGATCCTTCCTTGCTTTTCTCTTGTCAGTTTCTCTTTTCTCTCAGTAAAAGTAGAACTGTGGACCGATACCCTTTTGAATTCCTTTTAATACCCATTTCTTTGATCACCGGATGATCCCAACATTAATTTATGAATTGAATTTTTAATATTCCCTTTCTTCTGGTTCCAAATTTTGTTCGATCATCCGTTTTCTTTTCTTATTACTGGTTTCTTTGACGTTCTTCCAGTTTATCGAAAAGAACTGTCCTGTTGGTGGCTGGTGGCGGTCGTTTTGGTAGGTTTTTATAATATTTCATAATCCCGAGAAACATGAATTTGTAACAAGTATAATGAATACTATGAGTAATAATAAAGTAAACTTTGAAATGTATTTACTATTTATTGAATTCGTATTTATTGATGTTTATGACAATTATTACTGTTATTGTTGTTATTATAACCATTATTATGGCGAAATAATTGATAAATTGAATGGATCAGGCTAAATAAGCCTTTACCAACGAATGGTTTTTTAATATGGGATTATAAGTCGAAATTTTGTTCTCAAGCCAAGGCTTTGCGATAGCGTGTAACAAGCAATTTTCTCGTATACAATCATTACGTTTTTAATACGCGTTTTATTCCATTATTAATTTAACTATTACGCGTAGTTAAACAAAATCATCAATTTAACACAACCAACTCCCACATATCAATGTCGACATTTGTTTCGAACTCACAATTCGAGCGCGGTTTGGTCTTTTTCATTTATGAAATGTAATAATAATCAAAGAAATATTAGTAACAATTATTTGTTATATAATAATTGTATCGTAATAGTTGAAAGAAAATATACGGGAAAATTTTTTTAGCTCCATACAAATTAATTATTGGAACTATGAAAAAATCTCCATCACATTTTTCGGCGGCGGATACGCTTTACGATTTTCTTTGGTTTCTATGATTTTTTTTCACTGTCTTACAAAAACAAAAGTGTTTGTATATAGAAAAATGCTTAATATTAATATATGGTTATCATCTATAAAAATGGAAATGTTTTTTATCCCTTGTAACCCAATGTAGTTATAAATATTCTTGCTGCTTTGCATAAATGGATTGAGGAAGGCAAATGTATAGATGATTGTGAGGAGGAAATCGAAAAGTACGTTTCTGAAGATGATGGCGAGCGATTAAGAACACTTGATGGTTTGAAAATAAATTGAGACAATGGGCTGGGTCGAGAATAGATATGACATTCACTACAGTACGGTGACATGTGACCGGTAAATAAACCTCATTTTCGTGGTAGTTACTTTAATAAAATATAAGCTAATATATAACCAAGAAGAAATTTCATGGATTCAAAGATAGTAGCGTTAAATAAATTATCAAAATTAAAGATAAAAATGACATATTCTTAATATTTCACAAAACAATTTACGCAAGGAAATTAAAAACCATAAAGATTTAAATTGCAAAAAATTCTATATCAGATTATCAATATTTATTTATTTTTTTTTCAATTATAATAACTATTACTAATATTAATATTTCTTTTTATTGTTATTACAACAAAAATTACTATTCCCGGAACTGAGGAAATTTTGTTTTATCAAAATTGAACTAATTTGATTCGCTCGTATTGGAAAAGGAAAATAAAAATAAAAAATAATTATAAAAAAAATAAAATAAAAAACAATATAAAAAAAATAAAAAAATAAAAAAATAAAAAAATAAAAAAATATAGAGAAAAAATAGAAAAAATTTAAAAATTTAAAAATTTTATGGAGTTGGTGCCAAAAAGCAGGCAGCGCAAACGGTCATGCATGCACCTTGGGCTACATTACAAGCGATCGCTGCAGGTGGTAAAGCC